TATTCACGGCACATGTTACAATAATAACTAAAATCGCATAAAACTCAAATATCAAACAGTGACAAGTCACAACATATCACTAACATTAGTTACAAGGTAGGGTTAGATTCTAACCCTATTTTTAGATTGGTCGAGCTCATCCGACCAACAAAATGTCAACCTGCGAACCGACCTGAATTCTAGTAGATATTGTTCGATTTGGTACGTTATGTATCGACGTCAGCCTCACAGTTTTAAAACATGTCTACAAGGGAGAGACTTTCACACCCTTATAAGGAATGTTTCGTTCCCCTCTCCAACCGATGTGGGATCTTATATATCATGTGATATTAGTTTTGAAGATATTAATACACATGGTTGCATCGTCACAGTAATATCAGGTCATGTGAGTACGAGATATTAAAGTGAGCTTGATTATCGTAAGGAAGCTTCGAGTTAAAAGTGTGCTTAGGTGAGCGGATAGGAATGGCACATAGCTTTATTCTATGCTTCCCCCTTTTTGAGAATTGACAATCATATACTTTTGTTGAGAAAGCATATATAATACCTAGTGTATGTTGGTAGTTTTGTACTTCAAAGCCAAGAAAAATAAATTATATGGTACAAATAGAAAGTACGATTCATAACAACGGTATATAATAGTCGATTTTTATCCTAAATTTTTACTTTCCGTTCGATTGCACCTGAAACTTCGATAAATTTTACAATATTCACCTTGTTTTGAGGAAAAAAACGTGCTTATAAAGTAAAATACTGCAGTACACTGATGTGACATTTACCACACCAGCTCTAATACTTAAGTTAGATCAGAAAATTTACCGCATTTATCTTACTTCGAGATGTGCTTGTAAAGTGAAATACTACACACTGATGTGACACTTGTCATAGCAGTTTCGATGCTTAAGTTAGATCAGAAAATTTATGAATTAGGTTAAGAAAGAACCCAATCGAGTAATTCGAAGATGCCACGAGTCAGGAACCTGCTCATACCTTCTCCTTTTCGTACTTTCCAACTTGGGTCTCTCGTGTGTACTTGAGTTTGTTTCTAGTTCAAAATTACTCGTCAGTTACTCATGGTTTTTGGAAAACATAGCACGTTTACTTGGAACTGACTAGAATTAGGTTAATCGAGTCGACCCATATCTCAAGATATCGAACTCACGAAACGTAACCTCGATTTTTTAACATATCGAAGTCTATTGTACACCAAAAAGAGGTGAACGAAACAAGTGAAGCAGCTAGATAAAATGAAATGATACTTGGTTACCAACAAAGTCCATTTCTATATCGACAAAAACCCAGCAATTTAGAATAAGAGGCCAAAGATCATGTCAGTGATAAAAATGGTAGCAAAAGATGCTGATGGCATACAGCTCAAAGCCTTAATGGCTAATCCAAAAGGATATTAGATAGCTAGGTTTAGTGCTCAACAAGACAAACCCATTTCCTAATTTTATAACAAAATCTCAACTTTTAATGCAAAGATATCAAATATATTATGTTTTATATGCTTTTTGTAAGTGATAATGATGCAGTCAATATGAAACAAATGCCAACCTAAAAGTGAAGGAACTTTGATTTTAGGGAGCTACAAACAAGGAGATGAATTGAACGGTTTGAATTATAAAGGAACTTTTCAGGGAACGAGTGTTATTGAAGACGCTCGGTCCTAAAGGGGTGGATTGTGAGACCCCATATTCGTTGGGGGGAGAACGAAACATTTTTTAGAAGGGTGTGGAAACCTTTTTCTAGCAAACGCATTTTAAAAACCTTCAGGGGAAGCCCGAAGAAAATAATATTTGCTAGCGACAAACTTGGGCTATTGCAGTTGTTATTAATGTGGTACCTCTAGGGTTGACAGCTCTCGACCCTAAAGAGGGTAAATGAATTATGAGGGAACTTTTTGGGGAACGAGTGCCAACGAAGACACTGGGCCTTGAAGGGAATGGATTGTGAGATCTCATATTCGTTGGGGAGGAGAACAAAACATTTTTTAGAAGGGTGTAGAAACCTCTTTCTAGCAAAAGAGTTTTAGAAACCTTCCAGGGAAGCTCGGAGAGAATAATATCTGCTAGTGATGGGCTTAAGCTATTGCAATTATCGTTAATGTGGTACCTCTAGGGTTGGCAGCTATTGATCCGTAAAGAGAGGTTAGAACATATAAAAATGAGGGCTTTAAGTTTAGTGCATGCTTGCCTAATACCTAACCCTACCTTTGAATAGCTTGATTGCCCCTACTTTGATATTGATTTGTGTTCATGTTGATATCAATGAGTATCATATCTATGTCTACTTCTACTTCTTTGAGAAATTTTGGATTTGATTCTTCTTTTGGATTTTGATTTGCTTTTTTTTTCCCGAAAATTTAGTTCGGGTTGTAAGTTTTCTCGTTTCATGTCGGGTTTGAAGTTTGGTTAGTAAAAACTTTGATCGTTCCTATACCCACGTGAAAAACTAGTCAGTCGTGGGAGGTTGAGACCTGTATTAAGTTGGAAGGTCGTTGTGAGATCTCACATTGATTGGATAGAGGAACGACATTAATTGAAGAGGGGAATGAGTGCTAGCGAGGACGGTGGGTCCTGAAAGTGGGTGGATTATGAGATCCCACTTTGGTTGGAGAGAAGAACAAAATATTATTTATAAGGATGTGAAAATCTCTCCGAGAAACCCAAAACTGAAAATACAAAGAGGACAATATGTCTGTTAGTGATAGGCTTAGGTTGTTACAGCGGTTACATTTGTTACAATTATAGTTAAACCTAATAAAATCTCGAGTCATCTGTACGCATGAAGAGTATTAATAGTAACCTAACGAAAGGTAATCTCATCCAATTTACGATGACGAGTTTTTTTTCGAACAAAGAACCGTGTTGGAGAATAATTGAGTGAGTCGATCCGAAAATATATATATATATATATATATATATATATATATATATATATATATATATATATATATATATATATATAAAAAGATGAGATTCGAAATGCCACCTAAAGTATAGAGAAAGAGTACTAAAAAGACAACATGATTTGAACACAAGCGTGGCCATTGAAAGGCAGATTGAATTGATATTATTGGTGTCAAATGCCAATGTCCTCTCAACTTCATCCAAAATATTCCGTATACTTATTTTGTACTTCTTTTAAGCTCATTCGCTCAAGTGGGTGGTGGGGTACGTGTATTATTTAGCTACCGATTCATTGTTCGATGGTCCGTTGGTCCGTTTACATGTAACAACTCAATCTCATCGCTAGCAGATATTAACCCCTTTGGTTCGTTACATATCACCATCAGCTTCACAATTTTAAAACGCATCTACTAGAGAGAGATTTCCACACCATTATAAGGAATGTTTTGTTCCCCGCTCCAACTAACGTGGAATCTTACAGTATATCTGTCGTTTTTATTTTTAATCTGATAAGGTGTAAGTAGAATCTCACCTCGATTGATTTTCAGTCCTGTACACTCTAAACTTAAGCTAGAACTAATATAAGTTGGTGTCGATTACAGTAATGCATATTTTTTTACAGAGAATTGTCTGTCTTTTACAGAGTAATAACTGACACGCATCCTTGCCATTTTTTTACAATCCACACTTGGTGTGGTCAGCACGTTACACTTTGATGATGTCCATACGCTTGGATCAATTGTCTGGTCGAGCTTAGACATGATTGGTAGGTTCCATAGCGCACATAGGTGTTCGCCGAGCATGTCCAAGCTAGAATTCATACACATTTCCTTCCGTAATTAAGTCTTATAGTTAGGTCGTAATTCATTCCTCCAAGCTAGAATTCATACACATTTCCTTCCGTAATTAAGTCTTATAGTTAGGTCGTAATTCATTCCGTAAAATTGTAAAATTTAACAATCACTCGGTTGTTTGAAATGTGTTTGGATTATGTTCCCATGTTTTGGGAAAGCTCTTAACATCAAATGCAAATGTTAAGCAATAATTAGAGGTTTAATTATTAGTTAATTCCTTAACAATTTGTACCATTGGGAATCAAAACACTAACTCATTAGTTGTTTAATTAAAGGTAAACATTAACCAATCATTGACTAATATTTTAATTAATGTATAATTGTGCAAATTAATTAATTATTGGTACTTGTATCATAATTTATTAATTATGCCCGAAATGAATGATTATGAATTCGAGCCCTAAAATATTATTTCAACCATAGATTAACCACGTACAATTACAATTTTAGGTAAGGTCAACCCGATGGCTTCTACTAGGAAACCAGCACAGAAAAGGCTCGATGGCTTGATGCTCTAGTCCCTCGTCCCCTCCTTTTTATGTCCCTACTTTGCTACAAACTATGCAACCCAAACCATAAACATTTGAGTTGAGTCGGGTTAGATTTTTTTTTTTTCGATTTAGGTTGAGTTGAATTTTTTGAAAAATCGAAAATTCAGTTCAATTGGTAGGTTTACACTTGTTTGTTGGGTCAACCCGACCAACTCGAAAATAGGGTTATAACTCAATCCTAACCCTACTACCTTTCTAAAAAGATTAAGAATATTTAACATTTGTAATAAACGTAAGTGATAAGCTCTCAGATTGTAAATGTTTGATATTTAAACTTTATGAAATTTTAGTTATTAATGTGACGTGTATTATGGATAAATAAGAGGATTAGGTTGAGCTGTGAACTCTTTTCGGGTTTCTCGAGTCACCGACCCGATCAATCCAAAATTTTAGATGGGTCGAAAAGAATTTATAATCGAAAGCGAGTGGAAAATACAATTAAATAAAAAAAAAAAAAAAAGTGTTTTGAAAGTTAGAAGTGAAGGGTTTCACGTGTAAGGTCGGAGAGGACGGTGATCCATGTGCTTTTTGCAGTATGAAAACACACTTTATAATATATTTATTTATTTATTTTTATACTTTTTAAATATTATTAATATTGTAATAATAATAATTTTGATTTTTAGATAAGAAAAAAGGGATCTTGCCTTCTCTCTCTAAGACTTTACTATATATATATATACTCTCGTCTACGTGCATCATCGTTCTCGTTGGTAATGGCTTCGTGGAAGAAAACCATAATTTCTCCTATTAGAAAGGCTTGCACCATCTTCCACCAACACCCGAGAGACCTCAAGAAGTCCCCCTCCGACTCTGACTTAGGTGAGCTCTCGGGTTTTCTTTTGAATTTTCAACAACGGAGCAAAAAGAAAGAAAACGGTCTTATTTTTAGTTTCTTTTGTAGAACAAGACAAGCGAGTGAGCGTGAGAGACCTACAAGGAGAGGTGTTGGCTTGTGGGTATGAAGACGTGCAAGTTATGTGGTCTATTTTAGACAAGACCAACTCTACTACTACGGTCACCAACGCCACCTCCACCGTCTATAATGTGTCTTCTTAACCATCGTCGTGGTCACCGTTGTCTCGGCCGTGGCCAAAAGATTGTAGAAAACTCTTTTTCTCTATTTCTCGGTGAGTTATGATTTCGTCATGTTTATAGGGAATGAATAAATCCCCATGATTTGAAGAAGCTCTTAATCATGGTTATTACTCTTAGTTAATGCAAACATTAAATATATTTCCTCCGGTAAATGGAACGGGCAAGTATTTTGATTTAGAGAGAGAATTTTTTAAATTAGATACTAATTTTGTTACCAATAATTTCTTTGTAGTAATAGAATCGAACAAAAACGTCAATTCATAAAACTCATCTACCACATAAATGAATAACTCATTTTGGTCCATTTTGTAATAACTCATTCGTTTTATGGACAGATGTGATAATTAATTCTTTAGTCGTACCTCCAACCCTTCTATTATAGGGATGGTAAGATTGTGTTACGTTTCAGTGTATCAGAAAGAAAAAGCTACACACGAACTCTTATTTTGCAGTGTGATATTCGAAGTTGAGTTTAGAGGTTTGATCCCCTCGTAAATGAAATATCCACGAGATCGAACCGATGCCAAGAATGGTTGCGGATATCTCTACTCATCTCAAAATTTGAGCCACTAATTCCAACTGCCACACCAATACTAAAGTCTCAATCATTCCGTACATATTTTATTTTTATTTTTCTGTCATTTTCATAGATTTGTGAGGAAGAAAGATAGGGATATGGATGAGCTTCTCGTGAAAGGATTATCCAAAAACCTCCATTTCTACAATATTATCCTTTCAATTTCATCCTCCAATCAAACATTGAGTTGGAAATACCCCATGATTTGATTTAGGTCTTATAGGATCGAAGATGAAGCATTCTATAATCTAACTTGACCAAACCTGGATTGAATACATCGAATGCAATCTATCACAAGAACTACAATAAAACTTATAAACGACAAAGGTTTATTATGCTCAGATTCTTAAGAAAAATCTCAATATAGATAGAACAAGCTTCATTCATTTACGATGTCTTTTAAACTTGGTAACTTTTTGGGACTTCCACCAATTAAACTTATAAACTTCGAAACTACAAGAGTTCATGAAACTTAAAATAATAAATAAACTCTTCAAAGAGTTTGCCGAACTCAATTGACTTTAACGACAACCTCATAATCAACTTCAACCTCACTCGCATTGACCTCCAAATCTCTAAATAGTCCTCTATCGAACTAGTTTGCAAACACATGAAGTGGAGGTGAAACCAAATTCATCCCAGAGAGTCATCATAAAATTTTCAACCATATCTAAGAGTTAAGAGAGTTTCTCTTGGACCCTGCTATGGAATGGTATCACCAAAGCCTGCCACAACCCATATCCCAACTTCCAAAGAGGAAAATGGAGCATTGTGGAAAAAGCCCACAGATGATTCTATCAAATGAACTTTTCACTTATCAGCTACATGGAACAGAGTAATCCTTCTTAATGAGTCATTCAACACTTCTTGAATGGTTCTGATTTTGACTATGAAATCAAAGGCAAGAAATAGAATGAAAACTCATTTCAGAAGGTCTACCCTTCTCTAGTGAGATATAGTCCATGCCAATACAGTAAAACTTGTCAAAAGATCTACCATATGAACTTATCAGAGAGTTCATGTCCCTGCTTAAGAGCTAGACAAGGATTACGTACAGTCGATGAAGAATCGATTCGAAAGCTTTTAACTTAGGAAGTTAAAGAACTCTAAGTATGTGTTGAGATAGCAAGAACAATTGCCTACGAACTTCATCTGGGTTGAATAATTTACCTCCACTGGAAAAGTCGACACTGTTCATGACGATACGAGTGATATTCTCAACTACTTGCAACATATTATCGAGCAGCCCTCTCTTCTTTTGCTTCAAGGGCATCTACTTCCTCGTTGGATAGAAGATCAACAATTGGTTCGTAAATGTCCCAGTCCTTTCTTTTCCTGTTGCATTTTAGTGTACACTACCATAAGCATCAATTTTTTAGAATTTTACAAGTTATCTGCAACGAATATTAGAAATACACTAACAGCATGAGTTAATTTTTAAATTTAGAAAAACGAAAAGAAAAAGAAAAAAAAAAAGATCACTCCCAAACGAAGTTCACCGACCCTGACAAATGAAAATGGTATAAAAACCACGACAGCCAAAAGAATAATGATCTAAGCTCCAAGTGCATTAGCTTGTATAGATTGTTCGAAAGAGTGCATGTCAAGTGACCTTATATTTTGAATATTTTTTATATTAAAACTTGAGAATAGATAAGTTTAAGATATGCATTTTAGAAAGAAAGAACATTAATAATAAACACAGACTACAACCTAAAAAATTAGAATAAAACGTATGATATTAGGAAAATGGTAACAGGGAATAAAGTAATTACTCAAAAAAATTAATAAAATAATACTCACCGAACAGCACTTGATCGATGACCAAATAACTTCATCAAGTCCACCGAAGCACCTCCAGTTTTACTGTTGCACCAAACAGATAAAGAAGCACAATTGCAAAAGACAAATGAGTAAAGGTGAATATTTAGTTTCATTCCAAGTCCCAATTACAAAAGAGAATGAGGAACAACGCACGAGTTTGAATGAATATACCTTGCTGAAACATGCTCAAACCCTCGGCGGCCCTTCTTGCTCAGTCTGCTTTCTCTTGCTGAAACAACGTTCTGCACGGCTATCTGCTGGAACATAGACACAATGAAGATGCAGTGATGAAATAAAGCATTCAGATTGTGAACAGAACTGTAAAAAGTATTGTCCTTACGAAAGGGAGGCTTAACAGGTAAGAAAAAACAAACCTCATAAAGCTGCTCTCGTATTGCAACAGCGATTGCAGGCTACCTCACAAAAATAAATGAAATTCTCATGGTATCCAATAGTTGGAAAAACAAACAATTACAGGAGACTTTAGGTGAAAATAACTCATTGACAATCCATCCCTTCAAAGTGAGATGCTGCCTTTTCATCACCAAAGGAACCAATTTACATGTACAAAAAAATTTATTTTGTATATTTTCAAATTCAATTGATTTTTGCTTACTCCTACTTCAGGGTCTTCAATACCCAAATCTTTGCAGAATGTCCTGGAGAACTCTTCAGGGTCACTCTCATAGTTGTTCAAGTCCTAAAAGACATATCAGTTTGCACAAGTAAGCTTAATAAACATTTTTTCCAGTCAAATGTATCAAGAGTATGTTCAACTTTACCCACAGAAACTGATCCCTTATGAGCGTATTGTTTACTCGAAGATCAAGCTGAAAAAGAGAAAGAATTGCATTATTTGGCATCTAGCTGTAAGATAATGATAAAGGGAGGAGGTTGCAAGAGATTGGTATTGCAATGCCAATTAGACAAACCTTGATTGTAATAATCTTTTCACCAGTATACATGTCTTGACCTTCAAAGGATCTGAACTCTGTAAGTTGTGACTAATAAGCAAAAGCCAAGAGTAAACATAATTAAATTTGATGGCATGTCAATATTTAATTACAAAATTCATGTAAGTTAAAAAAAAAAAATTGTTCTTATTACTAAAAGAACATGGTTTAGGCTGACAATTCAAATCCTGAAGAATGGGAGAGGAAGGTTCGGATAACCATTGTTCTTACTTGAATGGATTGTGCAATTTGTGTTATAAATGCTGGGGGAAGCTTTAAATCCTTCACCGTCCTCTTTGCAAAGACCACCACCTCTGAATCTGGATCTAGAGTATACATAAGATATAATCATGCAATTGGAGATACTATCACAAGAGCAAAAAACACATTTTCAAGTTAACCTTCAAGGGTGCCTATGGTTTTGGGATGTTTTAAGATAACCACTGAATTCCTAGGTTCAAGTTCCCATGTTAAAAACTAAATAACTTAGACCCTTTTCGATAACTATTTGGTTTTTTGTTTTTAATTTTTGAAAATTAAGCCTCTATGAATTTCTTGTTTTGTTACCTACATTTTACCAATGTTTTCAAAAACCTAGTGGAGTTTTGAAAACTAAAAATGTAGTTTTCAAAAACTTGTTTTTTTTTTTTTTTTCGGAATTTGCATAAGAATTTAGATGTTCTTTTCAGAACCATAATACTCATTGTAGAGAAAAGAATGATGAGAAAACAAGTAATATCAATGATGGACAGTATATATCTTAGTCATAAATACTATTTTATATCGCATAAACTTTAGCTAAAATCACAAGCCAAGCCCTTGAATGTTCAAGCTTGTGTCTAACATAGATCTCTAAATTTAACAATATGTCCCAAAACTTCCATTTTGTGTCTAATAGTCTTTGAACTTTGAATTCTTGACCTATTCAATATCTTTTAGATTTAATATATTTATTATGTACATAATTAAAAGTTCATGGAAGACATTAAACTCGTATATAAAAACTAAATGAAGTATGCAAGTTTTTCATTAAAAAATCAACAATACGCCAATATCATCGGTAAAACAGGGATTAATTCAGTCTTCCAAGTCAGAAATCATAAATTTAGGGACAAAAAAACCCTAAATTCGAACGGTCAAGAGCTGAAACTACGCTACACATCAAACATCATTGATTGGAAAGGAAACATTAACAGGCATGAGCGATATAAATAAACGAAATTACCAGTAGGGTTCCAAGTGAAGGCATCTTTGAACCTCTGACCATCGATTTCTATATCTAAGCGAATTGGCACTAGATTCTCCGCCGTCGGACTTTGATAATGATTGGGAACATTAAACCAAATATAAAGCCATAAGAAAGAGGAATCAATGAAACGAACAATGTTAAAGTCGAAAGAGATAAAAGAACTCACATTCTGAACTTGAAAGGAGATTTTGAGTTAGCTGAGGCCGAAGATTTCATGGTTGATCGACTCTCCCGTTGTGTGTGTTTCGAGCGTTCTGGTTATGTAGCTTTCGGAACGACGGCAGTGCGCTTCCCTCGTCTTGGCCCCTTTGCCTTCTTTTCTTTCTTTTTTTTTTTTTTTTTTTTTTTTTTTTTTTTTTTTTTTTTTTTTTTTTTTTTTTTTTTTTTTTTTCTCTTCAATTTTCTGCAAAATTCAAAAATATATTTTATATGCGAGAGTGGTTGTAGATAATTTTTCAATTTTGTTCTTATAATTTAAAATATTGAAAAATGTAATAAGTAATCTAACTTATAATTAAAAAAAATTAAAATTAAATCTGACATGTTTTATTTAAAAAAAAATTAAATAGTTATTAGTTATAAAATTAAATATTATATCTAGTATGATTTTAGAATTTTAATTTTGTGTTTAAATTGATGTATTTTAAGGTAAATGATCCATTAGAGAAAAACTATATACATATAGAGAGAAAAACAATATATGTATATATATTGAAAACTAATAACTTAAAAATACAAATTTAAAACTTAAAATCTATTAAACATTTTTAAAGTTTCAATAGCTACATAACGAGATTGATGTTCTCATTGAGCTCATCTCACCCCCCCATCCCCCACCCCCACCCACACACACCCCATCGTAGTCCATCGATTCTTGCATAGATTATCTCATGCACAGGTAGCATTGAGTCTTGTTAGTCCCTTTCTATCAGCACTCTCTTGGGTGCATGATGAACTTAGAAACCTGCTTCTCATATGAAAGACAGATTGATTATCAATATAATAGGATCAAGTTTGCCCGCTTGCAAGAATCCTTTTCGTTCTTCCTGATCGACCCCTTTCAAGAAGATTCATCCAAGACTAGTTTGTTCATACAGGCAGTGTGATTTGGGGGACTGATTTTTCTTTCTAGGTCATGCGAAGGGGGCCAGTCCAAGATCCTAGGGAGCTGAGCTACCGCCAGGCTTACCGTTCGCATACAAGTAGATGGCTATGCAGACTCCTCAAAAAGCATAGGCTTGCTTTGAACACTCTAATTTCTTCAACCGGGACTTCAGACATGAAATTTAAAAGATTTAAAAAGATAAACTTCAATAATAACTTTAATACCCATCTAAAATAAGGAATTCCTAAATAGATAATTGAAAGCACGTGGTGAAAAAAAAAAACGAGTAGCGATCAATATTTTTTAATTTCATAGCATGTTATGTAAGATCGATGTTACACGTCCACAAAGGTTTTTCTTCGGACTGCGGTTTTTTTTCGGGCGTATCATTAAGATCTTTGTGAAGTCAATAGTGGCTCCTCTCCTTCCCGATTGATTCCCAGAATGACACAACAATGGAGTTCTTCTATCATACAAATGAACTTCAGTTCTTTTACATTTGATATCGAATTACATACAAGGGGACACACACGGGACGCTTCCAGCCATGTAATATTTGGCTCTATCTGCTATCTACATTTAAACCAACTTATGCACCAATCAAAGGAAAATGATATCAACCCAAACTATAAACACAGCAATAATTCTAATCAAAGACCTATAACTGGGTATCACTTTCTTCTAACATGTACTATTTAACGTGAATGAACTTGAATTATGCCGTTTGAGCTCGGGGTTTGTGCCCAAATCATTTGATAGCCTTTCACACAACTGCAGGGTTTGAATTGAAATGAATGTTAGGAAGTAGAGAAGGCTGATTCTTTAGCTCGAGTTTTTCTTACTTGCTATGAATTGTGTACCTGTCTGTAAGCTGAGGAATCTCCAAAAGATTTCTTCAGTTCCACTACGTTAAGCAATGGGCTAATCTCAAAGACCTGAGACCAAGCAGGTTTGGTTATGGGAGCAATCAAAATTTAAATGCAAGGCTTAATGAAATGTTTACCTCTGCTTTGAATGAGAGATTGCTTAGGCTTCTTTGATTTCTTATCTCTTGCATTACTTTCAACTGAAGATGCATAAAAGAGAGAGAAACTGCATGTTAGTGGGTAACATATGGCAAAGGGTTTCAAATAGAGGGGCCTTTGTCATTTAAAATGGCTGACTACGATGGCTTAGAGCTCAAATCAATCCATTTTCATGCAGTGATTAATGATATTGACATCTACCAAATTCTTTCAATTCTAAGAACTGGGTACCAACCTTTCCACTTTTCTTTTGGACCCGGAATCCCATATCCGTTGCTATAATCTCGATCCTTTCGAGCAAGTCCTTGGCAGAATGGTTGGATGTAAATCTGGTCTTCCTCTCAGAAACATCCTGTGATTGTTCAGCTTACAACATTAAGGTTTTATGATAACTATTTTGACTAAAGTTATAAATAGTACTTACAGGTATAGTTTTTGATTCAAGTATGTTTGTAAGAAAGGTAAAAAGCTTACCGAAAATTAGAAGAAAACAGGCATAATTTTCAAAAACAAGATAAAAACAAAATGATTATCGAATAAGCTTTGGATAAGTAATAAAATGGAAGTTTTAACTAAACAAACAAACAAGCCACGGATTGCATAGTCCTTCTGCACTAGAGCTCTCACCTCTTGCTCAAAGAAGCCGGACAGGTCCAGACTTGAAGACATCCCAATTAACTCAAACGCGTTGATAATAGAGGGAGATTCTGGGCTGTTTTCACCGTCAAATGCCTCCACCAAGGTAACATCCAAAATCCCATCAGTTAAGACAACACAACACAGAGAGGGAAAGGTGGAGAGAAGACAAGGAGAAAGAAACATAGATTGTCTCTTCATCTCTCTGTGTATACCTCATCGTGCGCCGAGATGGCATCGTCCTGATCAGTGAATGGAATATCTTCATCCTCATCATCATCATCATAACAAGGAGAAGCAGGATTATAGTCAATCTTGAACCATTCATCCTTTTTAATTCCTGCCATTGTAATCCGAGTATTGGGATTGGGGTCAAGAGTTCTCTTTATCAAATTTCTGGCACCTGCTGATAACCATTTGGGTAGCTGAAAATCCCCCCTCAAAGTCTACAACGAATGTTGATGCATATAAATATATTTTCTAAAGGGAGGAGAGAGAGATCTAAACAAATAGAAGACATATTTAGATTCTTCCTTTTGTTTGTTTGTTTTTTTTTTTTTTTTTTTCCCTTTCTCTATCAGCTTTAGGTACCTTTTTATAAAGTAGAGCCAGATTCGTCTCGTCAAAAGGAAGACAAGCTGTAAGAATCACATACAAGATAACCCCACATGACCATATATCAGAGGCAGCTCCATTGTATCCTCTATTAGCAAGTACTTCTGGTGCAACATAGTTGGGACTTCCACAGGTGGTGTGCAGCAAACCATCTTCCTAATGTCATAAACTATCCATTAATTCTAGTTCTTGAGCTGTTAATTAAGTAGCCTAGATCTACATGAAGATGATCTCGAATGTAGATATGTATAAAATTACCCTGCAATTCTGCGGTAAAGCACTGAGGCCAAAATCAGAAATCTTAATGTTTCCCTTATCATCAACAAGCACGTTTTCCAGCTACATGGATCATCAACCGATAAGGAATATTAAATAAAAACGCTATGAAGAGTGATTATTTGATTCAAGGAGACAGAAACAGCAGGTAAATACCTTGAGATCTCTGTGGTAAACTCCTTTATCATGGCAGTAGCTTAGCCCATCAAAAAGCTGCTGGAAGAGCCGTCGTCCTTCAGCTTCATCCAACTTACCTTTTGATTCCTAAAACCGCACACATAAATCTCCGATTCTCTCTATCGATCAAGAATTCAACTAATAACTAAATTAAATCAACATCAGATTGAACGCTTACGATTCTATCAAACAATTCCCCACCAGTGACGCACTCCATAACCATATAAATCTTCGTCTTACTAGCTAAAACCTGTAGAATATACACAAAACATTCAAATCTCCCGTTCATTCATAGAATCCACACGAATCACACAAATTCGAACACAAACCTCATAGAGTCTAACAACATTTGGATGTCTGAGAAGCTTGAGAGTACTTATTTCACGCTTAATCTGCAATCGATTCCGATTGCATCAGTTCGATTCGCTGAATAACAACAATAAGAACTAAAATAATAGGATGAAAGGAAATGAAACCAAACCTGATCAGAGAAGTTGAGATGAAGAATCTTGGTCTTGTCAAGGATCTTGACAGCATAACGGCGGCCGGAACGGAGGTCGACGGCCAACTTTACCTTGCCGAAATTGCCTTCTCCCAGAGTTTTCCCCAACTCATACTTCCCAACTCTCATTCTCCTTCTTCGTCTTCTTCGTCTTCGTCACTGCTAAATTTCCATCAGCCAAATTTGTGGCTCTCTCTCTCTCTCTCTCTCTCTTCTTTTAAATCATTTTTATAATTATTATTATTATTTTTTTCTCTTTCTGACTTTTACTCGGCTTCGCGCCATAGACTATTGAACCGTTCAATTATAAAGGTACCCTTCCCCACGCTCGATAGTATCGCGTGCACAACACGTTCAATGTCAACCACGTACTTTCAACCCCACGCGCTTCAGTTTTTACGTTTAAATCTAATTTTATTTATTTTCTCCGATCTTCTCTGAACGATGCGTTTTTGTTTTTTTCTTTTTGTTTTTCCTTTTTCTGCCTGCCGAAATTGACCTCACACTACACGACGTCGTTTTAGCTTTGAGGCAATTTAGAATGCGAAAAAACTATATAATAACTAAGAGTTCTATTTTTCTCTTTACTTTTATTTTTTAATAAAACAATAGAAACATAAAATAGGTAAATAAAAAAAAAAAACGTCTTTACTTGTTAAAAAAAAAATAGAGTTCTATTTTTTAACCCTTTTTTTAATCAAATAATAATGCTATAAAAATATGTTTTTGAATAAAAGTTAAAATCTTCTTAAAAAAATTAAATTAATTAAATAACAAATTTGTTCTCTTTAATATACTATCTTATGTGTCATTAACTTTTAATAACTTTCTTAATTTTTAATTTTATATTTAATAAATCATTTATTTATAAACTTAAAATTTAATTAATTATTCATAATTTTTTATATTTTATCAAATAAATCCTTAATTATTTAAAAAATTCATAAAAGCCAAAAATTTTAAGAGGATTAGTTAAAAACATTAAAAACTAAGTAATAATTCCAGCCAGGTTTTTACCTTTCTACCCTTCTTTTCTTTTTCTCTCTTTTTTTCTTTTTTTTTTTTGTAAAAATTGTAAGAATAATAGTTTTCATTTTGTAGAAACTACTTTATTTTAATTTCCACAATTTGATAGGAAAAAAAATTCCACGTGTAAACCCAACCATTGTTTTATTTTTAACTATTTATTTTAAAAATAAAAATTACAAAATTACATTATAAATTTCTCAATTACAGCTCGTCCTCCGACCCAACCATGTCGTCTTTTATCCTCTCCGACTTCTCCTTTCCCGTCACAAACCCTTTCTCCGTCGTCTCCTCCGCCGCCTTCCCCTTCGCCTTCATCTCCTTCGCCATTTCTGCTGCCTTCTCCGCCGCCATGTCCTCCGCTTCTCTGCCCTTCTCAGCCCCATATTGTCCCGCCTCTGTTGTTAAGACAATAACTCTATTTATCAACTTTTAATTCATTTATAAGGGATTTTCCACCTCGTATTTCAAATCAATAAAATAAAATAAAGTAAAATAAAGTAATTCTTTAATTATAAAAGGTTAAATTAGTAAAAATACTCATAAATTTTCCTTAAAATATATTTAAACTTTTATTAGTTTAGATAATATCATTGAATTAAAAAAAACATAGAAAAAAATAAATAATGCAAGATTTTAGAGGAAAAAATTAATATTTCAATTCAAAAAATATTTAAAAAGGGTTTATTAATAGTTTTTTTTTTCTAAAAGAAATTCTAAAGTACACTTATTACGTTCTAAAATTCATCAACTCCCTCCCCTTTTAATAAAAATAAAAAATAAAAATAACACAAATTATTACGATAATTTGAAGAATATTAATAGTAAAATTCTAAATTCCAACCCTACTTTTAAAAATTTATTAGTATTTATTTTTAAAAAATTATTGATATTAAATAAGGGAATTATTTTATTTTTAAAATATAAATGAAACCTTAAAACAAAGAGCTACTTGAAAGAACAAACAAATAAAAAAAAAAATTGGAACTTTTTTAAGTTTTAAGAATATTTTTTTTCCTTTTTTTTAAAAAAATTTAAAAGTATTAATAAAAGTTTTAAAATTTAATCAAATAAATATTTGAAAACTTTGGACACCGGAAAAACCAGAATCTGAGGTGAAATTCTCGATTTTGTCCTTGGACTTTTTCGCATTATCAGAAATGAAATCAGTAACTTTCTTAACGCCGTCTCCACCGGAGATCTTCTTTTTTGCCCATTCTATCAGAAATGAAATCAGTAACTTTCTTAACGCCGTCTCCACCGGAGATCTTCTTTTTTGCCCATTCCGTCCAAGTCTCCGACGCCCGATCTTTTTCCTTTTCTTCTTTCGCCGCCATCTTTCTCTTCATTTCCTGGTAATCTCGACCCTCCTCCTCCGTCGACGGCATGTGTCCCACGCTCCCGCTCCGGCAAAATTTCCTGGTAATCTCGACCCTCCTCCTCCGTCGACGGCATGTGTCCCACGCTCCCGCTCCGGCAAAAACTCACCATAAAAACCAGCACCACCACTGCCACCGCCACCGCCGGAAAAATGATCCGGCGCCGGCGAACTCGTATTGAAACCATTGGAACGATTAATTGTGAAGTTGTTTTAAGCTCAGTGAAGAAAATTAGGTACCGGAGAAATTGGGGATTCAGGGCTTTCTTTTATCCACGGGGAAGCGGCGGACGGTGAGTCCGCGTGGCAGAGGTTGACAGGGACGCCACGTGGATGTCAGAGGTTGTTGGGTGGGTGTAGGGGATGCCCACGTGGAGGACATGGTACTTACAGGTGGATATTTGTTGGGCGCGGATGCTGCTTCGTGGGTTGGACGTACACACGTGTCTCTTGGGAAATACATAGTTTACAATAGAGACAAACCAATGTGCTGGTAGATATCTATTTTTATTTGTATTATTACTTTAGATAAGGTACGAATATTAGATCTTTACATAATAATAATAATAATAATAATAATAATAATAATAATTCATATATGATATGTATCCGTAGCTAACTTGTGACTCTAAAACGCGTATGTTAAGAAAAGATTTTCACACTTTTATAAGAAATATTTCGTTACTCTTCTTAACTAACGTAGGATCTCACAATCCACCTCTTTAAGGGCTAGTGTCATTGTCTGCACATAGTCCAATATCTATCTCTAATCTCATTTATAACAGCCCAAACCCACCGCTAGTAAACATGGTTTGTTTTGCCCCGTTATGTATTGTTGTTAGTTTTACGATTTTAAAACGCCTTTGTCAGGAAGAGATATTTACACTTTTATAGATAATTTTTGTTCCCTTCTCCAACCAATGCAGAATTTCACAGGTATTGACATCGAAATGGGAGATAAGAACAACAACTCTGGGTTCAGTCTAAATTAAAAAAAAAAAAATAAAGAATCCTTCAAGATAAATAGAGAATATTTGCCTCGAAAAACAGCTTAACAGCCTTATTTATTAGAATAAAAATATTAATAAAATAAAATTTTAAATTGTTCGTAAGTTTCTTGTCTATTTCATCAATGTATTGTCCTATTACCCTAGAGCTTTTTCATTACTTAGTGGTATCGTTCTCGTTAATTTCGCTCATAAGTGTTTATCGTTCTCGTTTATTAAATTAATACCAATGTAGCTTTTATCACCCTTTTAAATGTTATTTTAATTTTAAATTTGAGAATAATATATTTAATTTATTAGATATAAATTTAAAAAGGTAGTATTTTGATCAAATATTCATAATTAATTTTTTTTTGTCTAATAATTTCATTAAATGGCATTATTAAAAAATAATTAGGAGATGTAATTAAACCTATAAATACATAATTTAATCTTATAATGTCAACTTTATAAATCTAAACTTTAGCTTAAAAGAAAAGATATGAATTAATCTAAAATTTTAGCTCAGTCACTTAATTATTAAACAATGTCAATTATAACCAATACTTTTCACGAAATTCAAGAGCTAATTAGATCAAAATGGAGAAATTCGCCGAAATTCCTTTTCATGTTTAATTATGAAATGGAAAATCTTCCCACCGAACACAAATGAGAAAAAGGGAAAAGTTGAGATGATGTTGAGCGGCGACCTTCCGTTTTCATCTTTGGAAGTTTGATCCATCCAAGAACTGGAAAGTGGTCCAACAATCCCATGATAAACCATTTGATCTTATGATCAAATCCAGTTTACAGACGAATACTCAATTGGTGGGTTGGTTCAATTTAGATTCTAAGTTAAGTTAATGGCGGACTACTGCTTTTAATCGCCATTGTTAATCAATCCTCTCTTTCTTGCTTGCTTGCTTGCTTGCCATTGGCGTAGAGGTTTGTTTTGTTTGGTGCTTTGTTGTGGTTCTCTTTTCAGGTATGTTGCTATATCTCTCTCCCTCCTGAGGTTTTTTGCCCGGTGCATGGCGGCGGCTGCCAGGTATTTCTTGATCGGTTTACATCTGAGTCAGTACGACGGCGCCTCCGCTTAGCTTTGATGGAACAGAGAGGTAAATCGACTTCTGTGAACTCTACGATGTCATCTCGCGGCGGAAGGGTTTCTTCGAAGGCTATGGAGTCGCCGAAGCGGATGGTTTCTGTATCGGCCGTTCAATCGACGCCGCAGTCTGTTGTGAAGAAGCAAAGTTCGAGAGTTAGCAGATCTCTGACGCCGAATGCTCCAAAGAAGGGTAGAGATGGTGAGAATGTTGGAGTTTCGGCTCGAGTGGTCAACCGTGGTGGTCTCAAGCAAGATTCGCTGCGGCGTTGTTCGAATGCTGAGGATTGTAATGGAGTTAAGAGTGAATTGCAGAAGAAGCTTTGTTTCACAGAGGATTTGATTAAGGATTTGCAGTCTCAGTTAGTGGCGTTGAAGGAGGAGTTGCAGAAGTCTCAGAGCTTGAACCTGGAACTTCAATCGAAGAACGATTTGCTCGTCCGTGACCTAGCCGCCGCTGAAGCGAAGTGCGCTAATGCTAGCAACAACGACCAGGTGAGGAAGGAAGACGCCATAGTCGTTTCCTTGAACATTACTTTTCTATTTCCGGTTGAAAATTTGAAGGAATTTCAGAATCGTTTTCAATTTTCAGTCGGTTGGAGAGTACAATCAGAAACTCGAAAATGGAAAGTTGCAGGCCCAACCATCAAATTCCTGTCGGAATGTTAAGGATTTGGAATCCAAGGCGGCTCCACCACCACCACGACGGGCACCGCCGCCGCCGCCGCCGCCTCTTCCCGTGAAATCCTTGCCCCGACCAGTGGCCTCTCAGAAATCTCCAGACCTCGTACGCCTCTTCCACTCCTTAAAAAAGAAAGAAGGGAAGAGAGGTCCTCCATTGTTGGGAAAACCCGCCGCGATCAATGCCCACAATAGCATTGTTGGGGAAATTCAGAATCGTTCTGCGCATCTTTTAGCGGTAAGGCGGTGATTTTTGTTGCTTTGATTGAAAAATTAAGCCATAGCTAATAGTGTTCATCATCAATTTACAGATAAAAGCTGACATTGAAACCAAAGGAGAGTTCATCAATGGCCTCATTGACAAGATTCTTGGTGCAGCTTATACAGACATAGAAGATGTCCTCAAATTTGTCGATTGGCTTGATTTCCAGCTCTCATCATTGGTAAATCTTTACTTGTCTCTTTTTCCTTTTCTGTGTAAATCCATGGAAAGAGCAAGTTTTAGGACAAAGAATTCTGGGTGTGGTGGGCCATATCATGTCATACAAAGTAGAAGATTTTCTAGTTATTGTTCATGAACATGGTCTGGTTTACTAGGAGAAAAGCAGCAATCCGATCAATAATTGAACATATAATGCTTTGTGCTGGGCTAGTGCCTTCCTATAATGTATGTCTGGCAAATGCTGCGTGCATTGTCTTTCAGGACGAGTTGGAAGAGGAATTCCTAATTCTTACACAGATGAGCCCATAACACTGTCCTAAGCTAAGATGGCCCCTTTCTGACTTCTAAACGTGCCATGGACTGGATCGTCTCTTTAAGTTTTTGTCTACTTTTTCCTTTCCTTTTTTTGACAAAGGGACTTGAGAATGAGGGTTACCCAAATCTTTATAATTGGTTTTGTACATTACCTAGTCTTGACTAGTCGGGTTGTCCCTGGAGGACCTATTTCCAGACTCGCTCTTCGGTTTCGAGGTCACTCAGCTTCTAATCTGAAGGTTCTAACATTGGAAAATGGCAGAATCCGCCCTGCATAAGTACACCCACCACCTTGGAAGCCATACTATTGCTTTATTAACTAAGAAAGCTTAATCTATCCAGAAAGTTAATGGCATTTTCTTGAGTGAACTCTATACTCTTTAGAAAGCGTGGGCATGTGAGGTGGCTTTTATATCTTTTGGACCAAAAAATCTATTCTGCACCTAAATTCTAGAACCTTTTGGATTGAGAATGACGTGGCTTTGGCCTTTTCTTCGTTAATTTTGAGGTGAAGTCCTTGTTGATGTTGACTGGCCAACTGTACAGTTTTGTCTATTTTGCTTGAAACCGGAAGACTCCAGATGATTATCAAAATTTGTCGTTTGTGGAATTTCACTGTGCTCAAATCTATACGTACATTAGTCATATGTTATCTTATCTCCACACTCCTGAACCATGTGTCACTGATAATGCTTTGTTGATCACTTGGAATATGCCGTATATTTCTTCTAGACCTGATTTCTAACAACAGAAGGAAGCATGTTTATGCAGAAACTGAGACTTAATGATAATTCCAGTAGTTTCTTTCTAAATAGTGTCTTTTGAGCTTATAATGAAGAAAAACCCGAAACGAAAATCATTCGGATAAATTAACTATTGAAGCTGCCGCTTTCTAGAGTTGATATATTGTGCTGGTCTATGATAAACGTGATGCTACATTTCAGTTAGTCTGGTAGTCTATTTTCTTGTTGTGTCTATAAATAGCCCTTTGAGAAGGGCGTTCTATCAAGGCTGCACCTGCAACGGCTAACAGGATATACTCATTCATATTAAGTGATTGATAATCCTAGTGGTCAATGAGGGCCGAGTTCAAGTCGGTCACCTGTCTAAGATTTAATATTCTATGAGTTTCCTTGACAACCAAATATAGTATGGTTGGTTGTTTGGTGAAAACAGTTGAGGTGCACACAAGCTATAGCTTACACACTCGTGGATATAAGAAAAAACTATAATAATCATGAACAAGGTACTTCAGAAAAATGTGAAAATAATGGAGTGAAAGAGTTGAAATGGTGTGGCTGATGGATGACCATATGCTTGCTCCTCCTATTGTATTATTGAATGTTAAAATTTCGTCTGCAGGCTGATGAGCGGGCTGTGTTGAAACATTTCAAGTGGCCCGAGAAGAAAGCCGATGCCATGCGAGAAGCAGCCATAGAATACCGGGCACTTAAACTGTTGGAAAATGAGATCTCTTTGTACAAGGATGACACTAATTCTCCATGTGATGCAGCCTTGAAGAAGATGGCGAGCTTGTTAGACAAGTTAGATCTTCTTACTCTTTTTGATACCTTTTCATTATCCAAATCGCATCTGGTCTTGATTTTTACTTCTTTCCTCATATAATGAAAGGTCGGAGCGAGGCATACAACGCTTAAT